TTTCCTTTCAATAAACACATGAAAGTCCCACTTATGCAGTCATGGACAACCTCCAGCCCATGCCACACGCAGCTCCTCAGGGTACGCCGCTGGCAGGCTGCCAGACAGATTGTTTATCTTGCTTGTATCTGCAAGTACGGCTGTCCACAGCTCCCACTGGTCGTAGTTCACCATGGCCAATGCAACATGCAGGCAGCTGTACCTGTGGACACTAGGTAAACAATCTGTCTAGTAGCCCATCACTGGCTTACCCGTGGCTGCAGGTTGCCCACTACTGTAGTAATATGTATGCAAGTGACATGTGCATATCAAAGGGAGAACCATATCCCTAAGGGCCTAACATAAATGAACAAAAGCAAATAATTTTGTTTAAACTCCAATCTTAGTGCTCCCTGTTCTGTATCTTGGATCAAGCAGGTTTTCAGCAAGGTCTGCTACATCCAGACAAAGTTGGGCATGTTATGGACATTATTTCAGCATCAGTTTTTAAATTCCTCATTTTTATGGATTTCAAGTTAAGCCCTTAAGTAAGAGTCTCATCTCTCCCTAATGAATGTGCATTACTCATATAAAAAGATAGTGGCATTACATACCCTTGCCTCCACATGAGAAGGGACATTACCGCCATAATGTAGAGTATTTTAGATTTCTTTTTTTAGAGTATACTCCTAAATCTTCTGCCAGGTCTTTTCAAGCTGTATTCATTTGAATGGAAGTCTATGAATAAAACTAAACATGTGGGTGGTCATCAGAAGAACTGGATAAGATGAAGAATAGTAAAGCAGATGGTTAAAATGTGATAGCTGTTGATACTATTGAGGCAGTTGGAGATACTGCAGTAAAGTGGCTTCATCGATTACTACATGTTTACTTGAATCAAGCATGAATACCCTATGACTGGAGGACAGGATTGATTATGTCTCTTTGGAAGGGTATGACTGATGCAAATGATTCAAACACCTATTGGGACATCACTCTCTTTGAGTCAACCTTTCAGTGTCCTTGGGAGTCCTTTGAAGGCAAGGTGACGGAAAATATAGCAACAGAGCAACATGGCTTTAGAAAGGGAATGACTACTAAAGATGCAAGATTTACAATAAGATAGAAGTTTAAAGGAATGACAAATGGAGGGTGTAACACCTGTGTAGCATTATTGATCTTGAGAAAGCATATACCTTGGTTCCACGGAACCTGGTGTTCGGATTATTCAAATGGGTGGGAGGGGAAGTGGAGATGAAAGTCAAGAGCTAAGTGAGAACATACTTGGAGTTCCGGAAAGTTTTGAGATGATGAAATTGAGAAGGCAGTGTTCTGAATCTACTTTACTTCATCCTGCTATGGTGTTATTTAGGAGGAGATAAAAGCCTGTAGAGAGAGAAATAATGCATGCTGATGATGACGACCTAACACTTTTGGTTGATAGCAAAGAGGAATTGGAAAATGTTGGAACAGAGTCTGGACACCGTGTATGAAGCAAGCAGAAGGGTTTATTAACACACAGCGCTGGTGAAGTGTCACTTCGCTTATCAGGCTTGGTGAACACTGCCAGACAATAGGTTACAACTGATTATATAGGATGCTAATGGGTGGATGAAGTGATGGGAGAAGGGAAGATCCCGGACCCCCTGGATAGGTGCTAACCATGAGACAAATGATAGAAATGTAGCCGTGTTAGTCTGGTGTAGCTGAAACAAAATACAGGACTATATCCTTTGGTATATATGGTTGTGACTATTTTCTTCCACTATTTGATCTGAGGAAGTGGGTCTGGCCCACGAAAGCTCATCATCTAATAAACCATCTTGTTAGTCTTTAAAGTGCTACATAGTCCTGTATTTTGTTTCATGAGACAAAATGAGAGCAATAAACTAAAGGTTACATAGTGTTTTCCACCCATAGCTTACAGAATACCTTATATCTAGTTAAACAAGTATTTAAACAAAGCAAACATCAGTTGTCAATTATTTGTTAAGTGGCGATGTGTCTGTTCGCATCAGGAAGGTAACTTTGCATGGATGTGATCCATTGGTGTTGCACCTGGGGGATTAAAGCAGAGACAGTAAAGGGTACTTGACAATTGCACACTGTTGAATATGTTATGTCCTGTCTTTCACCAGTAGGGCCTTTCCCTGAGATGTAATTGGATAGTTATCTTTATGATGACCTACCTTGGATGGGCTAAGCAAGGGGGGGGAGGGCGGTAACCTTCAGGTACTGTACCTGTGGTATAGGTGTTTGTGTGCCTATTCCAGACTTGAAATTTAGAGTAGGGGTTCTTAACAGAATATTACAGTCTGCCTCAGAAATCTTTACCCTACAGAAAATATGGCATTAAAGTGGGCATCTGTGTTTGAACACCCTGGTTTGAAGGTAAACAAAGAAAACTTCAGTTATGCAAGTAGAGA